GCTTTGATTAAATTCGAACCCAGGCCCGGCTTCGGGGAGCCTCGGGCGCCCGCCACCCAGTTGAAATGCCCTTCATGTTGCGCCTTGCCGCGTCGGGCTCCGTGCGCAGCCGCCTGGGCTCCTTGCTTGCAACAAGTGTGAGCACGAGCGCTAGAAACAAGACTTTGATTGAATTCGAGCCCAGGAGGCCCCGGGCGCCCACGGCCTGGTTGGCAATCACCTCATTTCGCGCCTTGCCGGGTCGGGCTCCGTGCGCAACGGCTAGGCTCCCTGCCACCGGCAACCGCGTGATTGTGTCGTATGCCTGTGGGTGTGATCCCGGTCAGCCAGCGCCGGTCGTCAGGACTTCCCCGGTCACTGTGCAGGGGCTCGATCTCCCAGTGGTCGAGGCGGTAAAAGCGGCTCGCAGGAAAGCCCGCCCGCGCGCAGCCTCCTCTTGCGAGGTCGGTGGGACGTGCGTTGAGCGCTGACCGACGTTGCATGCGCTCAACGTTTGACCATCCTGACGATCACCGCCCAGGCACCGGGCTCGTTGATCGCCCTGGGGTTTGGAAATGGCGCTCTCCGTGCGCCAGGCTGTCGATTCCACCGGCGCCCCAAACTGGAAACGGCCTCCGACCGCCCAGCCCACGCCGCCGAGTCGGCGCGCTCCACCACGCCCCGGTGACCGCAGCGCCCCGGGCGAACGCCTGTGCCTAACATTATTTGACCTTAAATTGAAGCATTTATGGTAAAGTTTCACCAAATTGTCTAAATACTGTCAAGAACGCGGGGCCCTTGCACATCGCAGGCGTAGACGTGCTCCACAGCGACCTTTTAAGCTTGAATGCGTTACGTGGTAAAGGGGCACCTAAATTTTGAATTTGTTGGGGTTAAACCCATCAAGGGTTGCCGCCGTCCCGCGGCTTCGTCTCGATGCCAGACACACGCCGACCAGACCGGATCAGCGCTTGTCGACCTCAAAGCCCACTCATTGTTTCTGTCGCTGCTAGCCCAGACAGGTACATGGGCAACGCCCTGAGGGTGTCTCCCTTGGGCGGCGACCCCAGCCAGTCGCCCTTCGAGTCGACGGACGTCCAGGCCCAAGTGGCGAAGACGGTGTCCGAGTCCCCCGTCGGCAAAGAGCAGCTCGGTGAGTGTGCATGCTGGGTGTGTTTCAAATGTGTTGCAATCCCAGGAAACCACAGTCATATAAAGTGGCATCTCCGTCCTAGCAGAATGGGCCCTTTTGTACTTTATGATCCTACTGGGCCACCGACGGCTGAGTGTGTTTCTGCTTGTATTCAACTTCGTCAGGTTGAGTGAGTCCCTGCGACTGCTGCCGTTTTCCCTTTCCGAGTATGAAACTTACCCTCCTTGTGGACTGAAGCTTTGGCCCTCTGGCAGTATGGATGATTTATAAACCGACACGGATAAAATTTGTAAAGTACGCTGCAAAAGGCGATGCAGAAGCGATGCAAAATACGACGCAAGACACGATGCCCGGCCTCCGCCACGATTTGAGCAGAAATGCCACGAACCCTCTCACCCATGAGCTGTGTAGTTGGGGCGGATTGCTGTGGAGCCATCTGAGCGTCGCTTTCTTCAGAATTTCGCCGACATTGTCCGATTGGGATGCGTTATCGAAATGATTGTGGGCCAGCTCATCCGGAGTGTGCTCTTTTCGGCAATATTCCCCCAGGGCCAAAATCGGTGTGAGTATGCAAAATGCTTTGAAAAGAGTTGGTGCGTTGTCTTTGCCTTTCAGTTGCCAAATTGGCAATGCTAATGGTCGAGCCATGAGCAACATATTGGAACTTGTCATTCCGGCCTCTTAATTTAACGCAGCACAGGAGAATGAACAAGGATCTTCAATCTTGCCATAGCGCGTCGGTTTGATGCCATGACTGCACACAGTGATGCTAGACAGAAGACTGCGAGGAAAGCAGTCCCTGTCGACGGCCAGTTTACGAAAGGCTGCCCCAATTGAATAGGACTCCACTCTTGCTTTATACCCACTAAATGTATACTAAATGCAAAACAAATGTAGAACGCGCGACACCCAAGGGAAAAAGAAGCACGTGATGTTCGGATTGCTCACCTGTAAAGTCTGCAGCACCGCACAGGTTTTCCTTGGCTCATCAGCATGTAGGTAGAAATGTAAGTAGAAATGCATCAGCAATATTCACGCTGTTCAATGCTGCTCAGGACACTTTTAAAGGGACATTGGGTAGCTCGCGGTTGTTAACTGGTAGTGGAGAATGGCGCCAAAACAGTGTGGCTGAGACTGTGCAATTGGCTTCTGTTTGCCATGGCTTAGAAGCGATGTACAAAATCTGGCCACGATTGACAATGAATGGTATGTCTGTTGATAACAGTACAATTCCTTCGAATGGTGTTTTTCGCATTGATACACGATTATTAGCAATTCATCGCTGTTTGAAGGGAGCGCCGCCATTGCGTGAAGCGGGTGTCTTCTTCGCGACAAAGATCACCACAGATAGCCAGGAGCTGGCTGCGTGTGGCCAGTATTGGGCGCGGTGAAGCCATTTCGTTGACGTATGCGGTTGGAAGAGCGCCGCCATGAGCTAAAAGTGATGAATCACAATAGAAAAGCAACGAAATTAAGTGAAACATACGCAACGTTCAAAAATCTGAAAAACAATGATGATGAAGGCACGTTTCTGTTCATCAAATGATGGGACTTTTCATCAAAAACCAACAGCGCTTGCAGCGGGTGGACCGCAACGTCAACTAACTCAGTCTATTGTATCCCTGTGGTTCACACAATGCTTGTGTCCAATTCGTCAATGTGATCTGGAATATGACCTCAATATTCTTCTCGTTCCGTGCCTGCCACTCAGCGCGCCCAAAGTTCCGAGTGCATTTCGTCATTGCCATGCCAGATAATATTTTCTTGCGTCTCTCCTCTCCGCATGGTTGTTACCGCGAGCCTTCTCACGGCGTGGCGCCATTGAAAATCTATTCTTGAAAATCAGCAAGGCGTAGACTGTGAATTCTGTGGCTACATTTCCCCAAAACCTTCGTTGAATGAATAGTTGTCACTGCTTTTCTCCATGCAGGCAGCTGGCTTCTTGCCAAATTTCCGAAGCATTTATTGATTGATGGTTTTGATTGATTGACTGATTTGAAGACTCGGTTTGAATAACTTATTTGATTGATTGATTGACTGACAGGTGCTTCACTGATTGACTGACTATCTGACTGGTGCTTTATATATGTCCGGCCCATTGCATGATGCCACGCAGTCTGCATGTTCGCCTTGGGTCTCTTTTACGAATGCTCAGTGGGTCAGTGGAGTAAGGCGGCTGTCGTTGGCTTCTTCCCAGGGATGTTCTCTGCATCCAGGTCGCCATTCCGCGCCGCGCGCTGGGTTTGCCGCTGGCGAGACTTGCTGTGACACCAAGCGGGCCAGAACTGCTGTTGGCGGCAACAGAAAAGGCGGTGGACAGTATCAGAGGTGCACTCGAAAGAGCGGAGGATGGGTTGCGCCAAACGCGGCATGGCAGAGCCACTGCCTTGTTGCGCTTTCCCACCAATTGTTGACGGGGCTTTCAGCAATTGACAAACGATGAATTTTTATGCCACTTGTTTAGGGCGATTTTGTTTGCCGTGCGCGAGACATGGCGATAGAGAGACGGCCACCTCCTTGCCTTGTTATCAGAATACTCATGGTACTGATCAGTGCCATCATGATGGGGAGCTGGCAGTACTTTCGGACTGACGCCAGCAAAATCATTGCCATTTCACGTAGTTTTGATTGTGCTCACATGTTGTTAGAATGGGACTACATTGTGTTGCCATGACCACGTTTTTCTTTTCCATTCTTCACCAGTGTAACGGGGGCGCATCGGACTTGAGTCAGTTTTGGTGATGATCAAACCATGGGTCAGCGCCAGGAATGCCCTAACGGGCAGCAATTTATATGCATTGATGCGCCGTATTGAGCAGCCCTAATCCTAACTGGAGGGTTGTTCGTCACCTGACACCCTGGGCACAAATGAAATTGTTGCGTGCAACTCCGCAAGTATGACCCCAATACTCAACGACACGAACCCCATCCTAATGAGGATCGTAACCGATCGGGCCACAGACGTCGGTCGCTGCCCAGCGTTCCACAGCTCCGTGTCCAGCAAGCTTTGCAATATCATGTTGGTTGGTATTGTAAATCGCAACTTCTTCACGCGATGCTTCATTTGATTGAGAAGCGTTTCCCCCCCATACCTGCCGCTCTGTATGACATGTCCATGACCGCAAATTGGGCGGCGCCCCCTGCCGAAGTGCCCGACTTTCCTCTACCGACAAGAGCACAGGCTCTGATGCCTCGCATCCACGCCGCTGGCGTCCGGGCATGCGTGGCTGCGGAGGTCTATCGGATGTACTCGCGGCTGCTGGGAACAGAGCACAGGGAATAGAGAGGGAAGAAAGAAAGAAGGAACGCGACCGGACGGAGAGGGAAATGGCAGGGCGGCGATTGAATTGCGCGCTTCAAGGGGGTCTGGACTTCAGTGGGCCTTTGCAGACCAAGTAGCCGAAGCTGAGACAATGGGCCGCAGGGACCCAGGCGCACTCTCCCAACCCAAAATCCACGTCCTTGGATTGCGCACCACGCATCGATGTGTGAGGCTGCTGGCCATCTCCGCGGGAACCGTTGCTCGTTACGCGATGCTCAAGATCCTATACACGGTCTCTCCCAGCAATCACATTTAGCGTGCATCAATCAGCCCCTGTGTACACATTATCGTCACGGATGCGCTGCAAATGCCCAAACGCGCTGTTGGTTACTATTTTTTTTCTGCCACAGAGAAATTGTTCTTTTTTGCGACAGTGGAAAAACTGTTCTTTTTTGCGACAGCGTTGTTCCTTTTTGCGGGCACCAAGATGGAGTCAAATGGCCCACGCAGATTTTAGTAAATGTGTCGCCTCCCTTGAAAGATCGACGCCGCAACGGCCAACCACGACCCGCCGTCCCTGGCGGCTCCGCGTCGCCCGCGGTCAGGATGGTCAACCTGAGGCTGCAAAAGCGGCTTGCCGCCGACATACTCTCCTGCGGCAAAAAGAAAGTATGGCTGGACCCCAACGAGGTCAACGAAATCTCGATGGCCAACTCCAGTGGGTGGATCAGTCGCTGGGCGCAGGCCCTGGCGCCCCGGGCAATCGCTGCGGCGTGCCGAGCGGCGCAATGGCTCCTCTGAAGCGCCACGCGCCGAAGGATGCCGTGCGGATCGCATCGTTGAAAGTACCGGCTCGAGTCGTTGAATCTCGAGACCAACCCCTTGCGCTGATTTGGAATTTTCGTTCACACGAGCCATGCCGGACCACCACCACTGCTGCTTGTGTGTGTGTGCGTGGGGTGAGGTGGTGTGGTGTGGTGTGTGTGTGGGGTGTGTGTGTGTGTGTGTGGTGGTGGGGTGGGGTGGGGTGGGGTGGGGGTGAGCTGGCAGGTGGTAGGCAATCCTCAAAGAAATTGCTGCCCGCCCAGGGGAGCGCCAAAGGTGCTGTTAGGATTCATTCGTTGAAACTCCCGGCTCGAGTCGTTGAATTTCGAAATCAACCCCTGCGCTGATAACTGTATTTCCTTGCTTTTCTTATTTATTTTGTTTCCTTATATTTTTCTTATTACATTTCCCTCATTCACAACATTCACACAAACAATGTCGCACCGCCACCACTGCTGCTTGTAAGGGAGAGGCGCGGAGTGCTGGGCTATCCTCAAAGAAGTTGCCGCTTGCGTAGCGTGGCGCCGGTGGACGCGGCTTGGCCTGAGTCTTTTGCTGTGCTGAATATTTTACCCTATTCTACACTCCAACCACTGCTGTTTGGTGGGGTGGAGTTGGGGGAAGTGGTATAAGATTTGCTACACAGAGAAAAGGGAACAGCTCATACACAGGGCACCCCTCATGAGCAAGTGCAGGCAAGACTCTTTCCAAGCTGTGGGAAGATGATGCAGAGTCCCCGTTGTGAAATTATCAGCACACAACACCAGCAACAAAGGCAAGAAACGGGGGAAAGTGCAATGCTTAATCCTCATAAAATTTGCAGCCTGCACAGCATGGTGTGGCAGTGACTGCCTGAAAACCAGCGCCTGACGCGGTTGGCGTGGTGTGCGGCGGGCAGGGCAGAACATCCGGAAGCTTGTGAAGGATGGCTTCATCATCAAGAAGCCCCAGGTAATCCACTCGCGGGCGCGTGCACGCAGGAGGAAGGAGGCCAAGGTGAAGGGCAGGCACACAGGATACGGTGAGTGATCTGGGCCCCTCCCTACCTGATGTGCCTGAGCATGGACTTTGGTGCCATAAGCTGGAATTGGGAATGCATGTTGGGAGTGAGGGGCCTTCACCACATGTCAGCTTGCAAGCACAAGTGCCATTTTGAACCGTTGCGTTCGAGCCATGTGCACACAGCCACCCCCCACACCTGCCTGGTATGCTTGTGCATGCCCCATTGACCTCCATCCGGCATCCAGTGACAGTGCGTGAATCTGTCAGCTTCCAGCTGTTCCCTTTCCCTTATTGCTTCTGGTGTCTATTGTTCTCTGTGTTGAGGACTGTTTGTGGCATTCATGAGTGCATTGAGAAGGTTTTAGGGAGTGTCTGTGTATGAGAGTGTGAGTTATGGGATTGCCGTGTGCCCTTCAATTGCTTGGGATGGTGCTGGAGAGTGTTGAAGGCAATATGTGGATGGCATTGTTCGGCCTACCGATTCGGGAGGGATGGGCAGACCGATGGGAGAGATTGGCATTAGGACGTTGAGGGGGTGAAAGTGGGCAAGGGAGTGTGCTTGATTCAACTAACTGCGTTTCTTGGATGGAGCACGCCATTTTGGCCTGCCTTTGGCTTTTCGCCCTGCTGCCTTATGCCACTTTGTGGAGCTATGCGATTGGGGAGTTGGGGGCAAACATTTTGGTGGCTGTTGCATTACCAACTTCCTGCTTCGTGCAAGGGCTTCAGTTGTCTTGTGGTGTGGACAGACTGTGGTCTGCAGATGTTCGTGACAGTGCTGTGTTTCCTTCTTGGAGGCTCCGGTCAATAAATGTCAATCTTGCAAGTAAAGCTGCCAGGTCCAAAAGGGCCGCATCGAGACGCAAGATTTGTGGCAGTTTGACATGTTGAGGTGTGTGGGGATAGGTAAGCGCAAGGGTACCCGGGAGGCCCGAATGTCGACCAAGACTCTGTGGATTCGACGTCTGCGTGTGCTTCGGCGGTTGCTGAAGAAGTACCGCAACTCAAAGAAGATCGACAAGCATCTCTACCACGAACTGTACATGAAAGTAAGTCCCCCTTTGTTGTCCAGTTGTTGCATCTGGTTCACAACGTGCAACAAGTTGCAGCTGGGCAAAGACACTTTCCCATAAGGCGAAGGAAATAGCAAAGATGATGAAGAGCTTTGCTGTGTTGGTACTGCTCCAACATACTCACTCTGTAGCTGCAGAGAGCCTTAAGATGCAATGTCACTGTGCGACAAAAGGCAGAGCAGCAAGGCACCCATCGCCATATCTTGGTCTCATGGCTGTTGTGTTGCTCCGTTTTGACTTGCAGGTGAAGGGAAACGTGTTCAAGAACAAGCGAGTGCTTATGGATGCCATCCACAAGCAGAAGGCTGAGAAGACTCGCGAGAAGGCGATTGCTGATCAGTTCGAAGCCAGGAGGGCCAAGAACAAGGCAACTCGGGAGCGGAAGGACGCAAGGAGGGCTGAAAGGCTTGCATCGGTACGTCATAACAACCAAGTGGTTTGCAACTGCAGTCCAGTGTAGCTCATGGTACAAAATTAAACCAAGAATTTTGAATGCAACTGTTGGATTTAGAGCTCAAGAGTTCAGTTAGCATGTGGATGCTTCATGCTGCTCATCATGACAGTGTGCTGCGCATACCAACTGGATCAACAGCATTCCTTGCAGCTTCCCAACACACTTGCAGTGAAGCCCAGAAGGATGTCGGCTGTGGCATAGATGCCTGAGCAGTCAAGCTGGCCCTCTTGACAGCGGCCATGTGATTTGAGTTATGAGCTCAAGCTGTTCAATTGAGCACCCACCAACTTCAAGGTGCAACGGTTTATCCCTATGCTGCATGCGTACCGTTTGTAGCAGCGGTTTTTTGGATCTCCAACAGATCTGTGCTGTGCTACAGGGTATGCATCTGGAGCAAGCACAAGCAAAGGCAGCAGCAGCGAAAAAGACCTGATCAAGTCATGAAACCGTGGATGGAGTGGAACCACTGCAAGTGGGACGAGAACGCTGTCAGATACTTCTGTCTTGTAACTCTATGGGCGACCATCTCTGAGGTGCAGTTGGTCCCACAGATGCTGCTAATGACACAACATCACATCAGAGAATTTGCAGAGCCGAATTGTGTTGGCTTGAGCCTGATGAGGCTCTTCTCGCAGTGGTGCAGCAGTATTTGCGCTGCCTGGGCGGCAGCAGAATCGCGGCGGAAGACTGAAAAGGTCTTCACAAATTACAGTTATCAAAACGCGTCAAAAGCACTGCCCATTCACTATCATTCATTATCAATCGCCATTACAAAGGTCCACTTTTGGGCCCCACTTCTTTCTGTCTCCCTTCCCAATTGCGATCGTTGGAAATAAAACCCCGACTATCCACAGTCAATCGGATATGCACACAACCTGGCCGTTCGTCAAGAGCCTGCTGCGAGCTCCCTCTCCGAGCATCCCACAAAGTTGCGTATCAGCGGGCCCAGGAGGCGTCCCAGCTTCTGGTACCCCTGCGCGGACATGTGCAGCCCGTCGCCCTCCCAGTCTCCTGTGTCGTCCGAGAACGGGATTGGGAAGTCGAGGTACAGCACCCGGCCAGACGTCTCGCTCGAGGAGGCCCAGTCCTGCAGCCAGGTGTTCACGGCGGCGCGGTAGCGCTGCATGGACTCGCTGGACAGCTGAACGCGGCCCTCTGGGATGCCGATGGCCACAGTCTTCGCGCCGTGCCTGGCACACCCAAAGTCATGTGTGCTATGTGTTCCCAAGAGCATGGCAACAAAAGATATGAGTAAAGAATTAAGCGTTGAATGCAAATGCACTGTGCTTGCACATTCTGGGGTACGTCAGGCTCTCTTCACAACTTTAAGTGCCCTCTCCGAAACCTTGTGAGGTTGCCCTCGCCTGCTGCACTTGCACCAGTTTCCTTCACTTCAATTTTCTCGTTTTCTCTTCTGTGTCAAGAGAAAGACAGTGAATGTACCTGTTTCTGTTTATGGACAGATCCCCGCCTATCCCTTCCGTGCGGACGGGAGTGTGACCTGGCTCCTGAATGTGATGCAGTGCTTCATCAGAGGAAAACAATCCCCTTTCCCATTCGAGTGTTGAGATTTGAGGTTGTGGACCCAGGCCGAAATTTTCTACGGTGAATGGAGGCATAGATGTAACTCACAGGTGTATGTTATTTCATCCTTTGCAATTCCTATTTGCGGGGGACATTTTTACATTACATTTTCGTGCAATCTACCGGAAAAATGAATAAAAAAATGCATACCGTCCAGCCTCAGGTCCGCCGGGGTGGTGGGTCGTTGCGTGACCGGCGGAGGTGTGCCCTTCGAACGAAAGCAAGACACATGCCGCGCAGTGGGCACCCTCCTCTGCAAGCCTTTGTCTGCGAGGCGTCCTTCGTGGCGCGCAGCGAAAGGGTCAGCAGCGCGACTTGCAAGACACCGAGCCAGCCGTTGACACTGCGGACGTCCGGCCACCCTACCCCGCACGCAATGCACGCAATGATACTCTTGCCCTGGAATGCCTGCCTGCATCCCTGCTGCTTATCGTGCACTTGAGCAGAGCATGGAAGGCCGCCTGGGGGCGTCGTCCTGGGATTCGAGTGTCGGAGCTTTGTCTCTCCCCAGTGGGGTTTGGACTTCATCAGCTCGGATCAGCTACCGAGCAGACGCCGCCCCAACCTCCTGTGGCGCGTCGGCCATCCACCGCACGGTGAGACTGCGGGCTTGCACGACGGCGGCGGCGGGTCTGGGAGATGGTCAAACCCCGCCGCAGTCATCGCGCAGCCCCGCAGTTCGGCTCCGCAGCGCCCCATTGCAACATCCAATCCCACCGTGATCCGAAGACGCCCGAAGCCACCCTGCCCCTGAGCGGCCGCACATCGTCGGACAGAAGGCGCTGGCCTCCCGCCCGGGGTACTTCTGGCACGGGAAGGCGGCTTGCCACTTCCCCATCATTTCACACGCGTTGCCATTCCATCAATGCCCATGGCAACTATAGGAAATGCCTGCCAACGGTGGGATTGGTATGGACACTTCCCCCACCTGGGACCCGCCACTTTCACGCACCCGGCCCCCTCGCCTGCGCCCACCGCACCCCGTCCCAGCACCCCTGCCACGCAGCCTTGCGCCCGAGCCAGACCCAGCTGGTTCAAATCTCCCCATCCGCAACGCCCCATCCCATCCCTTCCCCCCCCCTCCCCGCCCCCTCCCACCCCACCTCGGCAGGCTCAATATCATCTTCTCGCAGCGCGGAAAAGAGTCTCGCGTGCACTTGCTCAGGAGGGTGCGACCTCTGTATGAATCGTTTTTCTCCTCTTTTGCAAAAATCCTCACCCACCTGTGGCACACTTCGTGCAAGGTCTTCAGGTTGGCCTTCGCCAGCTCCAGCCCCGTGTACACGATGTCGTTGGTGCCCGCCAGCAGAATCGCGACGCCGTACCCCCCGGCCTCCGCCATCAGGCGACCCAGCCCGCATCCCTCCCTCCCCGTCACGTCCTCAACGCTCTCCGCATCCAAGTCCCGCACCATCTCCGTCGTGGTCCAGCCGCTGAGACCCACGGCGGCCACCTGGACACCCGGGCCCAGGCACGCCTGCAGGGCCTGCGCGTAGGGCTTAAAGTACAGGCCGCACATGTGGTAGCCCGCCGTGAGGGAGTCCCCGTAGGCCAGGATCTTTACCGGCGCCGATTGGGGGCCGAAGGTGGCGGGGAGGGCCATGGTGGGTCCACAGATGCCGCTAGGGGGTGAGGGGCGCGAATTGAAGGGATCGAAGGGGCAGAATCGGTGGCGATCTTTGGCGACGGGAGGAAAGGCGGAGCCAATCTGAGGCCGGCGGGCGATGGACTTTGAGCCTCGCAAAGCGCTGTGGCTTAGCCAAAGCGCACAAACCACAACTCACGGATGCATACCCGGTTTTGGAAGGGGGGGGGGGGGATTGGAGAGCCTGTGGCAACAGTTTGGAACGGGAGGAGCGGCCGGGGCGGTCTGAGGGGGGAGGTAGGTGGGCTCCGTATGCGTCGGCGGGGACGAAGTGTTGGGAGGCTGAAGGAGGCCGCGGCTGTTAACCTGGGAACACCTCCTTCGGGGACTTTATCGGTGGGCGGACACCCTGCACGGGATTAGTGATGCGCTCTGGGGGGTGCTCGGAATGCCGTCGTGGGGTCGCAGGGGGTGGGGGATGGTCATGCATCGGGCACATCGCGCAATGGGGCGCACTGGGGGGCAGCCGCCGGGTAGTTGTGCGACGCTGGGCGGCAAGTGTGAGGGCAGCCGGGCCGCAAAACAGGCGCAGAAACCGCCGTGCGGGAGGCGCTTTGTTCTCGCGCTTTTTTGCGCGTTTGTTTGCGTGCTCGCCGCGTGCCCCAAGGCCTTTTCCGCGATCAAAAGCGGACGCCAGCCACCCTGAGGGGAGAGAATCTGCCAATTTGGGCGAGGCGCGTACGTTGGAGGGCGCAAAGTAGGCACAGCAGTCGCCGTGCGGGAGGCGCTTTGTTTGCGCATTTGTTCGAGCGTTTGGGGCCGGCAACAAGGCCTTTTCTCCGATCAGAAGCGGACGCCAGCCACCTCGAGCGGAGAAATCTGACAATTTGGGCGAGGCGCGCGTTGGAGGGGATTCAGAGCTCAGATGGGGAAGGGCCGGGACAAGAGGAAGAAGCAGCGGGGGTCAATCACGGCGGGCAGGGGCGCCGACAAGACGCAGAGGAAGACGGAAAAGAACGAGGGCAAGAAGCAGAGACGGAGCGATCGGCGGGCGGAGGACGACGACATCGATGCCATACTGGAGAGGCTGAGGCTGGATGACGCCGCCAAGACGAGGGTCACGGTGGAGGAGAACTGCGCGGCGCCGGAGCCCAGGGTGTACGCTACGTACACGGCCGTGCAATCGGAGGTGGGCGCGTGTCCCCGGCGAGAATCCGTGGATTGCATTTGCCACCCGGGGGCCAACGTGGATGGCTTGCACTATTGACGAATGACGGGCAAGTATGCGTCCAAAGATCTGCCTGTTTTGCACGTGCGTTGAAAAGTCTGCCCCTCACCCGCCCGCAGTGCCGTGCGCGGCTTTGATGGACGCACACGGCGTTCGAACTCTGGAAACTGAGTGAGGGATGGGGCTGATAGTCGTTCTCGATTCTGGGAGTTGGGTTCATCATTTTCTGCATCTCCAAGCAGTTTGCTGTCTAGTTTCTGCCATGCGGCTGTCTTGTGTTGGGGCCTCGCCTGGGCCAAACCATCATGCTGACAGGGGAGCACTGGGTGTTTCCCCTGCGCTTGCGCACGGGGGGCACTGCATCTTCTGTTGCAACGCTTCTTCACTGCTTCCTTGGAATAGATTTCCGGGAAAATACTCGCTCAGGAGGGGTACAGTCCATTTTATGGCACATGTTCCTTCCTGTGTAAGTATGCAATCTCCATATGCTGTATTTGTGCAGCGTGGCAACAATGTCGTGATCTTTGGTGGCGAATGTGAAGATTTGGACACCGGGCGCATGCGGATGTACAATGACCTCTACATTTATAAATGTGACAAGGACCGCTGGACAAGGATAACTAGCCCCAACAGGTGAGTGGAGAAAATCTTGACCCTGTGTGCAAATTCCCTTGTCGATTTGCACTCGATCAATAGTGACCAAACGAGGCCCCTACATCGTGCAGGCTATGACAGATGATGTGGAGTCATAGTGGTCACTTTGGCACTGACTATAATGAGTGTTCTGTGTGGCGCACATAGATGTTGTGCTGCTAGTTCATAACTCCACCCCAAGCATTGGATTGCGGCAACTATTCTCTTGCTGTGCATCCTTCTCTGTGTTGCATCCCGTTCCTGCCGCGCCCAAGAAACTACTGATAAGGCATCTGTTGGATTCACTGCCATAGAATTGAAGTTGAAGCGGGAAGAGGAAACCACATGTGTGACATGATCCCTTTCTGCGGGAAAGGCAATCCTTGGCAGTTGATGGCATCACTGCCAATGGGATTGGACTGTGCAAACTGCTGCATGGCCCCGCATTGACTTGTTGGCAATGGAGACATTCTGTGCAATGCAAGTTTGCGGTCATGTCTGGGGAGTTGGTGCACAATCCCAGTGGTGGATGTGCTCCGCTCTTTGTCCATTTAGTTGAACATGCTGTGTAAGAAACCTGGGTGGCTTTCTAGCATCAACACACACTTCCAATCTCGGTCAGCAACCAAAGATGACATTGAAACAGTGATTGGCAAAACAAGCCTGGGCTACCGTTTGGAAGGTTTTGTTGCGTGGATGTAATCCTGTTGGCAGGCAGTGCTGAACACCTTACGGGTGAGTGGGTGGAGCCGTGAGTGGTTCCAGAATCTGGAATCCAGATGAATGCAAACGATGAATTCATCCCTTGTCAGGAAAACTTCGGAGGTTATTGTGCCTGAAGTAGCCTATTTGGCTAATTGAATTGGCACTACTTGGCCTATAACATTATGTTTGTGTTCTTTAATGTACCATATTTACTGTATTGGCCTGTATTCTCTGTGATGCTCATGCAGCTCATCATTATGGCTGAGCCCATTGTGCCACACGCTCAGCAGTGCTTGCCTGAACACTGCATGGGGACGAAAGGGCAGGTCAGAACGAGGGAAGGGACATGATGCCATGGCCTTTGTGCTGTGATGCTGCAGCCCTCCCCCAAGGAGTGGACACCAAACTGTAGTGCACAAGAAGTTCCTGTACATGTTTGGTGGCGAGTTCACCTCGCCGCGTCAGGAACGGTTCCACCACTACAGGGATCTGTGGAGATTCAACCTTGAGGCCTCCACATGGGAGTCCCTGCCAATGCGGCGGGGCCCAACTGCAAGGTCGGGTCATCGGATGGCCGTGTACAAGAACAAGATTTACCTGTTTGGTGGATTCTACGATACTGGCAGGGACGAAATGAGGTATAGGATGTGTGTGGTATGTACCTACCATGTGTCAAACCCGTGGATCATCACACATTGGAAACCATGCAGCGAAGAACTTCTTTTCTGTGGGGTGTTTGGTTTGCGATGTCCAGCGGGTTGTGTCTTGCATCTGCTCGCGGCGTCCAAGGATGGAATCTTGTCAGTTGCCATGTCTCTGTGGCTCAGCCAATTGGCAGTGCCTGTGACCGTTTACCAGTGGACAGCAATTGCGACTGATATGGAATGCAGGATTTGCAATTGAGGAAAGCTCCAGACATCGTGTCAAAATGCTAGATGCAGGGTCGTCAAGTTTTTCGTCAAACGAAATCCATGGGGAACATTTGCGTCTGTACAGAAGATTCCAGTTGCCATTCACGAGGTCATCGCCATGGTGTCATCTCTTGTCACGATCCACCGGACAACTTCATCAAACACCTTATACGTTGCTTTTTTTGGAGCTTGCAAATAGTTTCTCTTTTGGGAATAAGGATACAGGCACGAGTACGTACTCACATACATAAAGCACATATACATTGTGCATACGAGTACGTATACGTTGTAGTACATGGTTGCACAAAACTTTCCTGCGAGTTCCTGGATCTGGCACGGGAAAATATAGCCTACTAGAAAGGTTCCCAAGCGATGTTCTTTTCCTGAGTCGAGGCCTGAAAACGAGTGCAGCTGCATGCGTGGGGGCATGCAGGTACCACAACGACCTGTGGGTGCTGGATTTGGAGGAGGTTCAATGGACGCCCGTGGCGCAGGCCACAAACCATGGCCCGTGCCCCAGAGGCGGCTGCCAGGTGATTGTCTTCGAGGACGTGCTGTATCTGTACGGTGGCTACAGCAAGTACAAAGACGACGAGGATGCCGAGATGGAGCACGGGGTGGTGCACGACGACATGTGGGCGCTCGACCTCAAGACACACAAGGTTGGAGTTAGCGCCCTTTCGACCACAGCTGCAAAGTACAGTGCAGCAGTGAGCCTCACAGCACTTCTGCTAAAAAGCTGTGTTCGTTGTTGGTGTTGTTGCTCCAAATGCACGGAACTGGACGCTGAATGGGATGGGTGCCCCCCGCCTCACGGTGGTGAATCTCCGATTTCAGCGAAACTGGAACCTTGTGGAAGGAGGGTGATGCCAATGGGAAGTCCGTGAATGTACTAGCATATGTGCTTCCGACGTGTAGCGCTGTTCGTGCACATAAAAGCACCTGAATATGCCACCCACGTTATCGATTAGGCCCCTTGGTACGTCGATTGTTCAGCGACCGAAATCCCCATGGTTCATGTTTGTTATTTACTTGCAAGTACTTCACAAGCGTTTATTTGTTCATTTATTTATTTATTCATTTGTCCATTTGTTTATTTATGTATTTACTCGTTCTTTTACTTATTTACTTATCTATTTATTTGTTTGTTTTGTTTATTTTCTTATTTATTTACTCAGGGCATGAAAAATGTACGAAGGCCCCCAAAACTGAAAATCCTGGAAAGACCCCAAAATGACCTTCACGATGTCCACAAATGAAGGGCGTCCAACATTTGTGCCCCTGCCGCAGTGGGAGAAGGTAAAGAAGGCGGGCATGGCCCCAGGGGCCCGCTCGGGCTTCGGCTGGGTGCCCCACAAGCGCAAGGCCGTCCTGTTCGGCGGCGTCACGGACAATGAGGCGCGCCTGGGGGAGGTCATGGCGTCGGAGTTTCACAGCGAGCTGTACCAGTTCAACTTCGACAGGCGGCGGTGGTTCCCGGTCACAATGCGGAGTCCGGCCGGCAAAGGGAAGAGACCGGTCGACGGTGCTGGGAAACCGAGGGGGGAGGAGGTGGGGAAGGGAGCGGGGGAGGCAGGGAGCTCAGGTAAGGACAATGACGTGGGCATTTTGATTCTGTGGTCTGTTTTTCAGTGTTCTGTATTCTGTATTCTGGATTCCGTGCTCTTTCTCTCTTACTTTCCTCTTAATTTTTCTGCTTGTTTGGGTTTTTGTTCGTGTCTGTGTGCGTTCGTCATTCGCAAATACATGAAAGCCAGCTGGTCTTGGGTCCGATCCTGTTGACTTCCGATCGCTTCTCCGTGCTTCGGAGGGTGGGTCAGGGGTTGGGAGACGAAGCCAAGGACGGTGCTCAGACGTGCTCGGCCATCGCGTTGGAGCTTGCGGCACTGCGCTCAACAGGACTGACTGCGCTGATTGCGTTGACTACGTTGGTTGTGTTGAACTCGTCGACTGCGTTGGCCGGGCTGAGCGTCACTCCCTGTCGGGCAGCCTGGGGGCAGACGCAGTACTTGGCAGTGTTTTGCTGTGAACGCTCCAATCTGGCCGGGGCTCCGTTGAGGGCGCGGGCGGTGCTCCTCGCCCACGCAGCGCCCTGGCGACGGCTCGGCTTCTGCTGATATATACTGTGATATACTTTGGTATATTTCTGATAGCTTCTTCTTCTGATCCGCCAAGCCACGGACGACGGGAGCACCGACACCATCTTGTACGGTGTCGAAAGCGTGTCGGCCGGTGTCGACAGGATGACGTCACGGCTGTGTCGTCACACGCATCGATGCATGTGTGCACGTGTGCAGTGTCGATGCACCTACCGGATATCCCACACTTCCTGCGTGAATATTGCACTGTTTTCCTCTACTACAAGCGCAATAGCGGCTCTGTTTCCGCTACTATCAATGCATGTGTGCTGTGTCGATGCACCTGCGGGATACCCAACTTTTGCCGCGTACATATTGCACTTTTTCCGCTATTGCAGCATGTCCCTTCTTTCGTGCACGGCGACAATCTCCTTCACTTGATGAAGAGGAAATGAGAGCTGAACAATAGACAAGGGAAGGGCGCATTATATGAAGGGCAGCCTGCTGTACCGGATGGGTACCGGGTGAATGGTCAATGCGCAGCTGGCGGAACAATTGCCGATGCAACGCTCTCTGCCCAGCGTTCTGTAGGAGCGATTGGGGAACAACCGATATAGAAACCTTGTTGCCAGGCTGCCCGGGACATCCAGGGAGTGCACGCTGCCGGCATTAAGCGGAGTCTAAACGCACCTGACGCGCTGCCCAGTACAGTAAGCTGCGATTCAGAGAGGTCAGTTTGCCCAATGTCACAAGCAAGGGCAGGAGGCGAGTCGTCTGGTTCTTCACATTTATTGTCATTTTGTCGTCCATTAGAGATGTGCAGGTTAACTATATATAATTGATTGCACTTGTAGTACAGCCGTCAAGACGGCGTCCCACGTCATGTACCCTCGCAAAAGCGGGCATCGAACGGACAGGTACTGAGTCAGTACCTGGTACAGTACAACTGACCCACGTTGGCGAAAAAGTTGACCACATCTTACAAAAGCCGAGCCAGCGTCGCGCCCGTGCGCCGCGGCCTCTCGTTCCTGAATCAATCACTTGCGCGCCACCAACTGTTCAGAATCCCGCGACAGGGCTCTCGAGATTGTGCAGGAATTGTACTGCGCAGTGCGGCAAAGTGCGGTACGGTACATAGCGATGCTTGCGGCGGCACTGCGCTGCGGGGGCCAGCTTGTGCTGCGGGGTACAAATCGTACATCCGTGGGACGCAGGGTGCGCAATTGCGCTTCGCCCGGCGATTCTGGCTCGCGTCGTGCTCCAACAACAGGCCCAGTGCTGGGCGCCCCTCCTTCGCTCATCCGGCTGCAATGTTGGCCACCTGCGCCCGTCCTGCGCCTGAGTTCGCGCCGTCGGCTTTCTGGGAGCGGCTGGCAGGTCCCTCGGGGGGTGCACGAATTCGCGATTGAGTGGCTGCTTGCGCAATTTCGGGAAGAAAAGCATGTGCGCGGAGTTGCACTTGATTGCTTTTCGCACCCCCGTGGGCAGGATGATCTGCGCAGCTGACCAGCGGCACTGTCAGGTTCCTGCCAGGTTCCTTGTTGGAATCAAAAGAAAGGCGCCAATCACTCCTGTTGCTTAACTGGTATTTTCATTTTCTGGCAATCGTCCCCATCGCTTCTCACTGCTCCGTCAGTTCCACAATGGTTGTTATTAAATTTCCGCAGCACTATTGTGATATTATAGATCCACAGCCGTGAAGGAAAAAAGCACTCGACCGTGATGATAGATTTGAGTACTTTGGCAAATGTTCTCAAGAACCGGCGCTGCTTCGAAGTTCAAGATAGCCAAAGATGGCGGTCGAATTGAATTGAGAATCTTCATTTTACCTGACCCTTTTTGTTTTCTAGACTGCCCAGAGACTGCGGCCACGGCTTCCTGCGATTCAAAAGCAGCAGACCGCAGGGTGCACAACGCGGTTGTCAAGATTCAATCCAGGCAAGTGGATGTGCGTCAAAACACTCCCATGCAATGACCACTGCTCGCATTTCGTGCACGTAACCGTCAGCGTGACGCCTCGCAGTAACTACAGAGTCTGTTTGATTTTCCATTGATGTAAGTTGACACTGCATTGGATGGAGTCTTGCTTGAAAGACCGCTTGGCCGCTTGTAAGGCACAACGGCGCGATGACGAATTCGTTCCATAGGACGCTTCCGCCGAGGCAAGCTTCATAGCGCCGGCCAGCACTGCATGCCTTCGCGCCCTCTTGCGGCACATCGATATACGTGGCGCATCAATAGAGTGCATGTAGCCACATGTCTCGCTCAGGAATGTGCACTTGTCCGCTCGCACTCGCTTGGCCAGGGCCAGCGCGGGCCCGCGCTGTGGGCTGAATGAGGCATGCTAAGATGCACCAGCTTGAGCAATTGCGACTTGACCATTGTTCCACAAAAGGCCGCAATATGTCGCACAGCGTCCAACGCCGAACGGCGTTGTTTAACGATCGCCGGAGAGGAAAGCGCATCGAATTGTGAAGTCGAACGCTGGACCAATGCGCAGATGTTCTCGTAAGAATTTCATGACGCCCGCTACGAACAAAGCATCAAATGACACATCATATACATCATATTCAACGAATATGATGACATCACATTTGGCATCATTAATACGACAAAACCCCACATTTTTTGTGACATTACATTTCACACGCTCAACAGATACAGGGGCTACGTCGTGAGAAAGGCTTACAAGCTGTACAGAATCGGCGGGGTGGTCTCCGAGGTGCTGTACTCGCCCGCCGCCTACGGCGTGGACCTGTCCTCAAGGAACGCCCCGAAGCCGCGCGCGCGCATCGGCGCTGGCATGGCGGTGCTGCGCAACACGCTGTGGCTCTTCGGTGGCGTGGTGGAGGTGGGGGACCGTGACGTCACTTTGGATGACGTGTGGGCGCTGGACTTGGGGAAGCTGGACGGATGGAGGTGCCTGAGGGAGAACAGCGCGGAGGAGCAGGCGTTCCAGGAGTCAGATGGGGGGAGCGGGTCGGGCTCTGAGGATTCGGAGGAATGCGGTGAATGAAGCTTTTGTGTCTGAAGTTTGTCTAGGACATGGCATTTCTAAACTGTTGCATAACGTTTTTCGGTTAGCTGTTGGCGGAGATGGGCTGTTGGTTGTTTGATAATCGTTGTTGTCGCACAGTCGGTCTTTCAGCGACCAGGCTGGTCGTTGAATGGTGGTCTGCGGTCGGTGGTCGGTGGCTGCTGGTGGCTGCACGTCAACTCCTTCTGGGCCGCTCGTTTGACCGACGTGACGTGCCCGTGTGCGAAAGCGACCCAGCTTTGACTCCATAGCGTTTCCGAACAGCACAGGGGAAAGGGCTCGGGCCGCTGCTGGTCACTCGTCGGCTCCCCACCTTACGCTGTGATGCCGTGCAAGGCCCTTGATGGGAACACGCATGTATGCACTGCATGCGCTGCAGGAAATGGCATCAGAAACGGTTAAGGCACGAGTATGTCCGTTTAAGAGGAGGGCACACCACTGGTACATGATATTCAGCGATTTAACAGGATTTATGCTCGAAAATGTATTGCATGAGGTGGCTATTTGCAAGGCACACTGTTGGGATGGCCAAAATATGTGGCTACCACCACAAGACTCATCCTGGCCCATGCAAGGCACATGCAGTGCAGCACTAACAATCGCGTGTGCCCAACACAATATTGCGTCAACGACGCCATGCTAGCCCGAAATAGGCGAATGTTTGGGACTGGTATGCGGAGGGTGCCAGATAGTGTAACTTCTCTCTCACCACCTTTGGGGGCAAGCATCTGAAGCAGTAGCCTGGCTTCAATCTAGCACTGTCGAGCCCCGCTACGTGCACGATTCAACGGCAACTTTCCAGCAAGCGTGCTCATCGCAATTTTGAGGATTGTTGACTGATGACACGTTGATAATCTGTCATTGCGCCATCAGACAAGGGCGAGTATGAAAACCTGCTCTCCTTCCCAACCCGCCAGAATACGCTGCAAACGGCGGCCTGGTGAAATTGCAACAGGGCCAGTGCCGTGGCCTATTTGATTCCACACTTAGGCATGCGCTGCGCATGTGGCAGGTTTGCCTGTTTGAGGCAGATGCAGAGTTTCGGTGCCGCGAAATTCAGCACTTTGGGCCCAGGCGACAGGCACCCGGCGAGCTCAACCCTTCGCGCGACATGTTGCCCTGCACAGGCTCACGCACCTTTTATGGCCTCGAGTATCGAAGTACACATGCCCGGCACATGCTGCGTGTGGCACAGCCAACGCTCGAGGCATGGGAATTTATATCGGGAGGCGGCTGCGGACGAAGCAAGCGTGGCAATTTGGCATCGCCAAACCTCGATCAAGGCTTTGCAAAGCCTTGGTTGCGTGCCAGCCCCGGCGGACAGACCGAAGAGAGCCACAGGTGGGCGCATCGCAACGGAGGGTGCTGCCTTCCACCGCCCTCGACCGCCAATGAATTCACAGATTCCGCTTGGGACAATCCAGGAAATCGAACAGAGGGGGGTGGGGGAAGAAAGGGGGAAGAGGGAGGGGGGAGGGAGCGGAGATATCGTTGATGCTCCCTTCGATGGCAGCCTAGGCCCAGGAAGTGACGCATCCTGGTCGGCCCAAAGATGGCGACTGTTGTGTTCGAGGAACTCAGAGCAGATCGGGTCGTGGCGCGCACTGGCGTCCTTGCCGCGTGGCGCGTGGCCATTCGTCGAGGCACGTCGGGATGGTCCCTCCACGGGTGCCTGAGTTAAAAGCCGCCTTGCGCAGTGACCGGCGCCAAAGCCGCGGCTTGGATTCGCGCCCAGGCCCTCCCTGTCGTCAACTGGCGACGGGCGAAGAGAGACTGGACTCTCTTCGGCACTCACCTTCGATCTGTCCATTATTGATCCATTTGGGATCTATGTTTGATCGATCTATATTTCATAGTCATTTTCGATATCCATTATCGACAAGCCATTTGGGACTGGGCGTAAGAAAGCGTCCCGAATGCCCCATGTTCGGAACGCCCTTGCCTTGGCCGCGAAACTGGCTCCCACTACCCGGCTTATCGGCGGCAGTGGGCACCGGGCCCCAGACGGCTGTACTGAGCATACAGTACTGGGCAAATGCGTCGTTGACTTCGCTGCTAAAGTACTGCAGTAACGCAACCCATGCCCGACAGGCTGTGTCGGGGAGTTGCGCGACGGGACAGAGCACCGCATATCTGGCACCGTATCTGGATCGATCCGCACTGAGCGGTATCGACAGCCCGCCAGCTGTCCGCGCACATTCCGTGATTCACACTTTTCGGCCCCCGCGGACCGGGGCGCGCCCTTTTCCGGTCCCCCGGAGCCGCCCCCCGGCACCGCAACAGTGTCGGTATCAGAACCGTCGTTCCGAAACCGTCTCGGGCACCGTCTCGGCAGCTTCCGCGCACGGCCGCTCAGCAACCGGGCCCCTTCCCTCTCTCCGCCCCCACCGGGTCAGCGACAATTTGGCAAAGTGACATGCTGGCCGAATGTCGTGACCGCATTTGAGGCCGGTCGCCAGTCCACCCACCCCGCCTGCCTCCGCGCCTCCCACCCGCAGCCTCCGGCCACCGCAAGCCCCCACCCCCCGCCGCCACTTCTCCAGGCCTCCCCCCAAGGGCAAAGGCTCGCCAGTCGGGCAATCGGGGAGGCGATCGAGGAGGCGATCGAGGCGGGGCTTCGCGAGCAATGTCCCTCGCCTTTCTGTCGCCAAGGTCCACCAGGCTGCCGTCGGGCAACGCCCGCCACCTGGCCTTCGAGCACCACCGCGCGCTGAGCCACTCTTTCGCCGAAACCCCATCCGCCTGCGCCCTTGCCGGCCACGATGCGGCCTCATTGCTCGGATACTCAACAAGGTGCCTGGCCGGGACCAAGGGACCCGGCCACCTGCTGGCGACATCCGATACGGGGCTGCTCGGGGCATCGGCGAGCCACGGGCCCGTCTCTATCGGCGGTGCTTCCGGAATCTTCGCGCGATCTTCGACCGTGCTGGCCGGCATGATGCCGCAGAGGTTCCCCAAGCGGTTCGGCGGGGCGAAGGGCGGCGGCAGAGCGGCGGCGCTGAAGGCCGATTGGCTCGTGGGGTCGCGGTGCGGATCCGAGGGCGAGGGCAGCGAGGAGGGCAGCGAGTCGCCGGCGGCCGTCGCGGCGGGGCCCAAGCAGCACAGCCTGTACAAGGTGGGCATAGTGGCGCGCCGCGTGGGGGCGGGTTCCTCGGGGAGGATTGTGCAGTTCTTTGCGTATGGGTGTCGAGATGTATGTCAAAATCCACGTTGAAATCCGCGCGTGCGTGTGTTTGCGCGGGTGGGTGGGTGGGATGGGGATTGGAGGTGAAGCATTCGCGCCCCTGGGCGGCGTTATCGCGGAGGTGCGGCCTGGTGCATTGCGATGTGGCGGGGTGGGACGAGCAAGAATGGCGGCATCGGAACCCGAGTGGCGTTGGGGTGAGAGCTTCGAGTGAGGAGTGCGCCAGAGGCGGCTCCGAGGTGCGATGATGCTTGATTATCTGGCGGCGGGCGGGAGGACGTCGCCACTTCCTCCCCCCTCTGTGCCGTTCGGACCGAAACCGGTCGGAAGGCACCGATCGACTCCAAAATCGGCTCCGCTGTCTCGCACAGGCTTTTGCATCCGTCTCTCGCCAGACCCGGGCTTGGGCTTTGTTGCAAGGCGAACCCTTTGCGCCTCCTCCACCGCTTGCCCCCTGACCCATCCGCTGTCCCACGCGAACGACGACGATGCGCATTAGCCCACGTCCGATGCCCGTGTGTGTGATATGGGCTTACGGAATCTGAGCACAACGCAACCAATCCAAGATTTCTCCCCCCCACACACAAACACATATGCGATTTTGGCCACTCGGCAAGAACTGACCGCGGCCGTGTTTTGCTTCTGGCCCCGCGCAGACGGAGCTCTGCCGCTCGTGGGAGGAGACGGGCTCGTGCCGCTACGGCGGCAAGTGTCAGGTGAGCAATCGGGCCAGACTTGGGTCCATTTTACTTGGGGAAGAGACGGCATGAGCTTCACTGCTTTAAAGTACTGGCTTGTGCCTGCGAGTTGCGGCCACGCCAAACCAGAGCGTCACCCTTTGGGTCCAAAAACAGGCGGCGCTGACCTCCCAGATCGACCCCCCGGATAAGCACCTCGGAGGCCGCGCCGCGCGTCCGTCAGCCGGCGATGTACTGCGGACAGTACACGCTGTACTGGCGTGGGTGCACTGTCGCGGGGGCCGCCCCCCTTGACGTCTTTTCGGGAGGTACGCCGCTGGCGCCGAGGCTTTGGCCGACCAGACCGCGGCCCTCGCGGCGGCTCCTTCTCCGTCTGCACGGCTGCGGGGCACGCGCCGCGCCAATCGACGAGCACGGAAGAGTCCAGTATTTGATCAAGTTCCGGAATGCTTTGGAACTGATTCGGTTCGGGAGGCCGTTTCGGCCCCGCCTACGGACTAATCTTTCCGAGGCGAGTTCGAGCGTGCGGCGCTGGATCGGCGATCGCATCAGATCGAGGCGCGCCGTCGCGCGCTTGGATGCCCAGCCGAAGCGCGGGGGGAGGCTTTTCTCTTTTCTCTGTCTTTGTTCTCTTCGCGGGTGCTCTTCTGATGCGCTTGTTGCCCTGCGCGCTCCCAGTTCGCCCACGGCGCCGAAGAGCTGAGGGAGGTGCCTCGCCATCCCAAGTACAAGACCGAGGTGAGGTGGGGGGTGGGGAGGGGGGGATAGAAAGGGGGGATGGAAGGGCAGTAACGCTTCGGTGCCCTTTCAGGAAAAGCGGGCACGGCGCTCGTCACTCAACGCCTTGCCGTGCGGCCTTGTGTTTACTGTGGCCGAAGGGGCGCACAACCCGTGGCTGCTGCCGCCAGAATGTGATACGGCACCGCCCTTGGGGTGACTACGCTCTTGCTGGTGGTGTCATTTTATCGAGAAGACATGAGGTGTTGGAATGCTTTTTTCCGGTGTTCTGCGGTCCTGCAGCCGTGTGGCGATTGCATTTCTATGCTGTAGTAGTTTGCATCCACCACGTGAGCCCTGGGCGCTCCAGGCTTGTTGTTGATACTCGCTTACAGCCAGACAGTCGATCTGACAACTGCTTTATTGCCACACTACTGGCAGTAGCATGCCAAGATCCAAAGCCTCACAACATAGCACAGCGGGATACTGCTCTGTCTGGAAACCCTAGTTTGTGAATGTCCACTGGCACAGCGTCCGTTGTTGATGGATAAAAGAGTGGCTCTCTCAGCTTCTGTTCGCCATGTCCAGATATGCTGTACATTTGCAACCACTGGAACATGCCCTTATGGGCGTCGTTGTCGATTCATTCATCAAAATGGCCCCATCACAAGTATTGGGACCAACAGGCCAAGCAAAGAGGCACAGGTGAGCAGCTCCTGGAATACTCTGGGGAACATTTGTGTCTATCTGCAGTGTGGTAAGAAGTTTACTGGACAGTTTGCATGGCAGGGTCGGGGGTGGGGGGTGGGGAGAAGGTGCCAGGGGTGAGATCTTCTCCATACAGCAACGTTTCAATCAAGTCCACTTGTGCCACAGCTCAGCAATCTCAGCTGACATAGACCATCAGAGCACTGTGTACAAAGCATTGAGTGCCAGTGCCAGACTCTTGAATCAATGCTGGATAACTGTTGTCTCTAAAGCGGAATTGACACTGACTGGAGGCTGATCGAGATGCCGAGCGCTTTGAAATCTTTGACTATCTAACTGGTCTCTACTGACTTCGTCCATCCGGTCATCCCCACTTGTCACTGATCCACCTCACAACAGCATCGGTGCAATCCCTCCAGTTCAGCGGTGTCCAGTAGAAATATGACAAAACGACTCAGCCCAGCGCCCCTTCGCATCCTTGTTGGTGCGCAGCCTCTCTCTGACTGGTTAAGCACACTCAGAAAAACTGCGCACTTCACCCTTGCGCCCCAGTGCCTCCCATGGTAACGATCGCTCGCATGACTTGTGCAATTAATGCCCATGTTTCAGACGAGGACAACGTCGTCCTTGGGGCCCCACTGGCCTGTGCGCCGTCAGCTGACCGATCCCGTGGTCCCGGCGTCCAGGCGCTTGCCAGTATTCGTGAAGCTTTCCACGGCAGGCCCTGCAGGGCTAATGATGGCCTAGGCAGCGTGTGGGCGAATGGGGTTGTGACTTTACAGGGTCTGAAAATGTGCGTGCCTTCAGACAGGAATGATTGCAGCAAGGCGGGTTGGGGGGAGCTACGAGTGTGCATGTGTGGGAAGGGGAGTTATCTTTTCTTGGTGGGCGTTGCGCGTGTACTATAAATGATCGATTTTTGCGGGGGTGGGCGGACGTGGTGGTGAGGGGGGATGGAGGGTAGCTACTGCTTTTGCCAACATGTGAGGTTCAGTGCAGAGACGGGTTTGCAAGCTGTTTCATGTCAGCATAGCTAATTCATCGACTCAGTACTAGGGGAAAGCGGGGCTGTGCGCCAGCCCCGTCTTCTCACGGGAGTTTTTTCAAAGGGTCTTTCAAAGTTTTTCAAGTTTTCCGTAGGGTTGTGAATGATGACGGGGGGGAAGATAATTCATGTGTACGTGGGGGTCATTCAGGTCGCGGGGCTGGGCGTTGCCGCATGTGGGTCCCAGGAGGGAAGGGGGTCTCCGCACATGTGAGTTTCGGCGTGCTGCGCCCTGCTATATTTATGCATGTGCGGTGCCCAGAGACCTTTGCTCATGGCAGCGTACGCGTTAGGATCATTTGGGGGACGGAGTCTAGAGGGGCTTCTGGTTTAGTGAACGAATGAATGACTGCCCGTCAGGTGAAAGAGTGCCGCGGCCTCAATTTCATGTTGTTGGGCTTTGGCGTCTTTAGATCAATGAGTGGAAGGGATTTCAAAAGGGGTTAAGTCATTCTTGAGTTGCAGGGGGAGGTCAATTGCTGGAACGCTGTCCCAAATGGGTCAAAGTTTGGGCACCGAGCTTGGCCTTGAAACCCCTCTTAGCACACTCGCGTCTTGAAGCACCCACGAGAAGTTTAGTGCCGGGATATGTATACTACGCGCCAGTTGGTTGTTTGCTGCGGTGACCGCGAGCAGCTCGTCCCAGCTTGGAGGAACTGCTTTTGTGTGCTGCCAGTGGACGATTCATTGATGAGTCATTGATGAGTCGCCGACGACGGCAGAAGCGAGGATAGCCACAAATTGTGGAGCGCGGGACGATGCGCTGATCGGGTGGGTCATCGCGCAGGTTTTCGTTTGTCAATTTGCTCAATTTTGTATGTTCGGGATATACGGGCAGGATCATGTTTCAATCTGGCGGTGCGAGAGCGGAGTTCGCCTCCGGGCGGCCTCACCTGCCGGTTGGCAGTGGCAATGCCCTTCCATGTTTGTTGAGGGCCGCGTGAGCAAGGCCGCGAGTCCATTTGTTCTTTTTTCTCCGGGATGTTCATGCGCTGCCAGGATGCGCCTCACTCACGAGCATGGTCGCCATGGTTTGCACTCCGGTAGTCTGCTTGGGACCGCATTGGGGCTCCACTGGGAACGGCCGGCAAAGGCCCCATGCCTGCCCACCGTCGAGCGCGGGGGTCCTATTCCTAAATGCAGGTGCCCTTAGGACGGCAGGTGGTTGTAGGCAGGCAGAAAATAAAGAATACATAAAAAGTGGCCATGTCGGTTGTGTGTCCAGCGCCAGCCGCAGCCCTGGTGGGCCGGCAAGTGCAGCCGACGAGCCGCAAAGCAGCCCTTGTGCCCCCCGGGCAAGCGGACTGGGCGCAGCGGGCTGCGCTAAAACTGCAGACTGCGTTGGTGGACCAAGACAACAAACACGGGGCGGGCCTTTTCATTGAGGACAGTCGGGTGGGGTCAATGTGAGCGATGTGGCGGGGGTTTTCGGGCGAGCACGGCAAGGGATGTGAGTGCGGGCTGGGGCACGGGCTGGGGCGGATGCATCGCCCAAGGCGCGGGTCTTGGGGTTTGCACCGTGGTGGGCTTTAGGGGGGCAAAAAATAAGGCCTAGTTGGGAGGGATACAACGGATATGTTATTCTCGATACTCGATTGTGTATGTTTCCACAACGCTGTAATTTTTTTGCAATAGTACAGGAGCGGTGCCGACGCCTCGGGCTGCTCTGCCCTCGAAGATGGCCAATGCCCCCCATGCGGATGTGTGATTTTCTCCTGGCCGTTCTTTGCCGTTCGCCGCCACCGTGCATTGAGCGGCTTGGACGTGTGCGCCTCTCGCCCCTTCGGTTTCGGGCGCCGCAGTTTGCTGCCGCGAAGCTATGTTGCCCACACGTCCCATCAATAAACCATCTAGCGTCAACTGTGGGCGATGGCCCCGTACATTGGACCACAAAGCGTGGGCGACCCTGAGGGACGTTACGCCGAAAATTGTTAGTCCGTCTGTCTTCCGAGAGGATCACTTCTTCTGCTGCTGGCAAGGTCAATGTGTGTCAGTGGGCCAGTGATTTACGGTCTAGGGTTTCGAAACAAGAAGGGATCTTCACTGAAAAGACAGAGCGACTAATTTCATGCCCGCTACACCACTGGGTGACGCATGGCCAGCGCGCACTGGCGCTCAGGCGTTGAGGCACATGGCATGGTCGACACGTCCTTGCATTGTTGTCCATGACAGACGCAATCGTTAATTCCTCGGTTTGACCAGCGTTAGCAAAGAGGGCGCCGCCATGTTCAAGCTCGTTCAAATGCTGACCGTCGATCGTCCAATCACGCAATCTGGACAAAAGCACCGCATTTCGGATCAAGCGCGCTGCGGAGGCGCGAACAAACAGCCCCAAGCCGGCCAGCGAAATCCTTGTGCAGACATTGGTGCTGACATGCTTCAGGCGACTGCCTCCAGAGGCCAGCGTTTCCCGCGACAGCCAGTAAGGCGCCAGCAGACGACCCCCGTCGACACCCCCTCCAACTGCCGTCTGCTCTGCCCCCGCAGCAAGCATGGAGCCGGCTCACTCAGCTGGGGACGCCTCCCAACCCCTCCCCAAGACCTGCGCGCTTCACATTTTGCTGGTTAAAGAAAATTGGGTCCTCTGCGGGCCGACGAGCCTCAAAACTCACACCCCTCAGTGCCCAGGGCCCATCAATCCCGCGCAAGTTATTCTGCCCCTGGCCTCCCGTGGGGCTGCGCCCCTAATCGCCGCAATGCGCAATGGCGCCGTTTTGCCCCGTGCAGGCAAGCAACCGCAGGACTTCCGCTGTGAGCCATCCGGCGGCCGGCACACGTGACCACGGAGACCGCGGCGTGCGCACCGGCATTCCACGACCCTTTCGCAAACGCAACAGGCCCCCCGCTGGGTGCTCTCCTCCGAAGGCACAGAAAGTGGTACAGCGGTCAGGACTCTATGGCACTGGCTTGTACCAAAATTCCCGCAAAAGTTCATCAGTGTGACACAGTGTGTCACACACACCCGCACGCCACCCCCTGAACCACCCCGCCCAGAGCACGCCCCCCAAAACACCCTTGGTCCGCTCCCAAAGAAACACACCGCCAGCTCGGAAACTCAGCCACCGCCGATCAGGTCGTCGCGTCATCCCCTGTGTCGGTACAGGCTCTCCGGCAGCGGGTTCCAGTCCTCCCGCACGGCGGGCACCTCGGGCTCGTCGTCCGACCAGGCCGACGAACCGCTCCACGGGGACTCGCACTCCGAGTCGCCGCCCTCCGCCCTCCCCGCCTGGCGCGCCACCTCGATCTCCGACGTGATGGGCCCCAGGCTCCGGCCCCTTCCGTCGCGCGATGACGCCGGCGCCTCGCTGCGCCGGGAGTCCTCCGACGGGTGGATCGAGCTCAACACGAAGCCGAAGTCGTTCATATCCTTGGCCTTGGCCTCGGGTGCCGGCGCCTCGGATGCTTCTTGAATCATGATCGAAGTCGTGACGAACGGCATCACCGCGGGCTGGCGCCAATCGCGGATGTTCTCCATCGGCACCTTGGTGTCCCCCTTGCCGCCCTTCCCCCCCTTGCCCCCCTTCGCGCTGGCCTTGCACTTAGGCTCCGCCCGCATTGAGAATCGCAAGAACCTTGGCAATCCAGGCAGCCTTAGCCGGCGAGTTGCGCCCTTCTTCCCGCATCCCCCGCTGCCCTTTTTGGGCTTAAGGGCATCCGTTCCCGCCCTGTGTCTGCGGACGACCTTCCAGGCAACGGCCAGCACGGCCGCGAACAGCAGCGTGCCGCCCACGGAGACTCCCAGCGCGATGACCTTGGAGGCGTCGGAGGATCCGCCGTCTGGGATGGTGGCGGTGCCCGAGACGCTGAGGTCCACGCGCGAGGCGTCCACCACGCGGCAGTTCTCCGAGTCGTGCTGGGCCTTGCACTCGGTGTGCTTCACCTGGGCGGAGGCAGCAGGGTGTGAGCCGGGTCAAGGGCCGTGTGCCACAGCCACGAAATTAGTCCCTCCGTCTTTTCTGTTGTCGTCGCTGCTTGTTTAGACCCCCTGAACCTAAGACCACTGCCCGCTGACCCACGCTGGCCTTGTCAGCAGCAGCAGCAGCAGCGGAATGGATCTTCAAGAAGAAGAAGTGGGGACTAACAGATTCTCTGCGCCATGTGCGACGTGCCACATGCCAGCATTGCAGACTGTGCAAGACGCCATGGGTATCACGCATGCCTTTTTTTATTGAATTCCCATGTATTACATCAAAAGATGAACAGAAGATCTCCCCCACAAAGCGTAAAGTATGCAAAGATCCGGCATGCCTTATGTTTGCAGACAGCCACCATATGTCGGCATTGCAGGCTCTGGAATGTGCCCTACACATGCCATATGCCATGTGTTCCACATGCACAGTTCTGAGGGCACTCGCACTTTGAAACACATTCACATTCCTTGCTCCGATTTGCCATCCCAACTCGAGTCCCCGATTGTTTGAAGCCAACATGTTATCGAATACAATTTGCTAACGCAACGCTGAAAAGTACATTTGAAATGAGGAGCTGCATTAGTTGCAACCGGTGGCACCGAGAAGACTCTGCAGCAGCTTTAATAGTTAATTAAGAATATATTTATAATAATACATTTATAGACAACAAAGAATAGATTTGCCATCAACCGACGACTGCGGTGATGCAGTTGTGCTGCCGCAAGCACTCGCTCACCCCACTCTCTCATCAGAACCCGACAGACAAAAGTCACAGCACAGCGCATAGACACAGGCACACAATCGAAAATGTACTAGTCCCTTTGTCTTTCCGTGAGGATTCCTCCTTCTTCCGCTGAGAAGGCCAGCGTGGGTCAGTGGTTTTAGGACTTAGGGTGTCGAAACAAGGAGCGATGTTCACGGAAAAGACAGAGCGACTAATTTCGTGCCCACACAATCATGGCGGCAGCACAGAATTCGCTCACCATCAGCGCCGGCGGCCCCTCTTGCCCCACGACGCCCTCCATCTGCACCAGCCAGTCGTCCACGCAGTACCCGGGCCCGTCGACGCTGCCATTCCCGTCCTCCTCGGTGCCGCCGGTCCCCACCAGCTGGCTCGACAACCTGCCCGCGCCCTTGCTCCCATTCCCCTTGCCCTCCTCCCCAGACGTAACGTTCGCGCTCCTGTGCCCCTGGCCCTTTATTCTCACTCCCGCGGGCTGCCAGATGCACTTCTCCGTCGCGGCACAGCTGCTGCCCTTCGACATGAGCGTGCACTTTGGCCTGCCTAGGTACTCCACGCACGACTTATTCCTGCCCACCAGCCCCAGAACGTTTTTCTCGTCTATGATCCGGTTGGCGAAGCTGTCGCCCAGCTGACAAACCCTGAGCCTGCCGGCCCCCGGAGCGAATATCGTTGCGTTACACATGTCGTCACCGCCGCACTGCGCCTCGCTGCGCGACGCGCAGACCGCCGCCGCCTCGAACAGTTCAGAGACGCCATCCGCCAGTCCGTCCCTGTTGTCCTCCGGCACCTCCCTCAGGTGCTCTTTTACAGTCGACAGCTGGTGGGCCTTTGGAGGCATGCACAGCCGCTCCGGGGCCTTAAGGGACCCAGGAACGGGACTGGCCGCCGCATCCGGCTCCCGCATCCCGCACCGCTCCCCGCTGAAGGGCAGCTCGATGGACGAGCACTCGTCGTCGCCGGTCCCCCCCAGGGCGAGGCAGCCCGCCAGGTCGAGGCTGGCCTTCATGGCCGACTCGCTGCCGAAGACGTTGGATTCGTGGATTCGACCACGCGCCAGCTCGTAGCCCACCCAACCCTCCATCAGCGTTTCGATGCTGGACAGCAGGTTGAGGATGCTGCCGCCCTGTGGCGGCGGCGGCAGGTCGGCGACGCTGCTCGTCCTGTCAAGGGAGCCAAGTCCGCACGCGCTGCATTAGCACCAAGAACACTGAAATCGCGGCCTCTTGGGGGTACTTGCTGGGCAGCCAGAAAGGGGAGGCTGGAGCTGTTCGCAGCTGCAAACGTTACTGATAAACTTGTTGATGGACGTTTGCAGATACGAGCGGCTCCTGATCAATCCATATGTCGTTCTTGGTTCCCGTTCGGGACTGAACAGTCCTGAGGTACGCTGAGGTTTGATGAAATTGCGAAGGAACAAGCAAACTGAAATTGACACTGGACTCTCGATAAGCAGAAACGAATGTCGCGCTACGGGAAGCGCCGCTGGTGTGCCCCACCTGTTGAACACCTTTGCCTCCATGATGCCGATAGAGTGCAGTACCACACCCACCACGCCGTCCACCACCAGCTGCTGCGGGTTGCCGATCAACGCCGGGTGCGCGCGCGCCTTCAGCACCGCCCTGTCCACGGCGTCCTTCACGTCCTCGGGCCGCACGGGCCCACGCTGCCAGTCATCCAGCCCCCGTTTGTCCTTCGTGGTCTGCAGCGACTTGAGCGTGTAGTTGCCCTCGTGGATCGCCACCGTGACGCCCGTCAGGTCATCCAGCAGCGACCCAAGGGCCTCAAGTCCCGGCTCCATTTCCTCCGAGGATACCGGAGGCGGGGGCCCGGCTGGATACCGGAACCCCGGGACCGCGACGAACGGTAGAGTCCTGAGCATCCCCCTCAGGGACACGTCCACGTAGTACCCCACCAGGCTGACGTTGCTCACCTTGGCCCGAATCTCGTTCCACCGGGAGCTCCTCTGGGCGACGATCTCCACCCAGCTCTGGTTGTGCTCGGCGGCAAAGGTGCCGTTGAGCTGCATGGGGTACACCTCCCGCACGCTTTCGTTCACGGCGCTGACGACGATCTTGATCAGGTGGCCGAAGGACTCCTCGCCGGTCTGTTCGGGAAGTTCGTCGTCCCCGCAGCCTTCCGCGAGTTCTTCGAATTTCGCCTTGGGCGCGTTCAGTCGCAGAAGCTCGTCGGGCATGTCTTGGTCGGACAGCTCGGCCCGGACCTCGTCGGCGACCTCCGCCAGGCTGCAGGCCGTTCCCGTGACGCCGGACGGCTCGGGTGCCGCCCCCTGCGCGCACCGACACCCGTTGGAGCAAACGCGGCATTGACAGTTGCATGCATAACGACAGCAAACGGCTGTCTTCCGACAACAGCTGTCAGCAAACTGCAAAACAGCAAACAGCAACAGCTGCCCTGTTGTCGTCGAACGGACACAGTGAGGCTTGCCCGAAATCCCGATCGCTTGCTGCCTGCATACTTGCTCCGCGGACAAACCGCGCTGTTGATGGTAAGCCCACATTTCCTGGCTCAATTCTGCATTCAAACGACAAAGACGAGCCCTTGCAACTTGCAGGCGATAGGGGGGATATTTTATGCGTTACATTTCATCTGTTACGCAACAGTCTGCAACGTGGCCGGCAAGGCAACCCAAACCATTCGAAGGTCGTCATCGCCCAACATGCCAAGTGTTGCCACTCAGCATCATGATACATCAGTATATACTTGCTAATATCATTGAGTACTTTGCCATTTGCAAATGATGCATTTGCTGGCAGCGGCGTACCTTAGACGTAGGGGCCACGCCAGCTGCGTCAATACGATTGATACTTCATCGTGATGTACGAACACTCATTGTTTACATTGGTCAAACCAAGGAAATCATCTGCCGGGTCCTCTTGCAACAGCCGGGCATGTTCGCTACGCAACAAGGCATCTTCGCTACACAACAAGGCCAGTTCGCCTACAATGCAATTTGCAGATGCTAATGGCGATCTACATTGAAACATGGTGATTGAAAACATACAGATTAGGCAGGGGGAAACGTACCTCTATGTCCTGGAGACCGTACTGGCACTTCCACCACCAAACGTCCATTTTGGACCACAGAGAAAATGATGACTTGGTGTAAGTGGCGTCCAGCCTGTATCGCATATCTTCCAAGCTCTTGGAGAGATCTACCACGAGCTTACGGCCTTCCTTTGAGCCTGAAGAGTTGAGCTGCAGCAACCTGGAGAAGTGCTCCAAGCCGTCCTGCAAATGGCGAAGGCGAATAGCCATCTCAACGAATTCGCAGGGACACCACCGCCGAAGCATCCTAGCGGTGTTGTTGTATCCCATACCCGCACCACCACGCCACACGATAGACTACATTTTTTCCACAATGACCGCTACAACACTGCCATGTGGTCGGCCTGAACCTGTGTGCCAACATGTCTGCACAGTTACGAATCCGTGACCACCACAAGGCATGCATGGTGACTTGATTATTGTCCTGAATCCCCATTTAATGATCCTAAGTTTGAAATTCATAATCTTGACACTCCCGCGTCCGTCATGGGCCGCAAGGTGCCACGGATCTGTCCGTTGCGGCTCACCCAAGAAACGCAGTTCCAGCAGTTCACGCTCAACCGCATCTGCACCACGTGAACGCCCCTCAACACCACTCATCGACGATCGCTTCTTGGGATTGCGAGCCAACGGATTCGTAATATTTGTGCTAATCATTAGATTTCAATGCAATGATCACAGGCACTGCCTTGCTTGTGCAAAATAGAAAGCTGACGGCTACCTCATTGTCTCGTTATTTCAAAATGAATGATGATGATGAGCACCCCCCAAAATTTTTCTGTTCCTTGAAAACCCCCTTCCCGCCACTCACCACCACGACCGTCAGTTCCTTGGCCTCGTCCGTGTCCGGCCCATCATTCTCGTCCTCCCCCACTAGCCCGTCGTCGGCCTTGCCTGTGAATCCCGACCCCAGGCCCGTGTCCTCGTCTGCTATGACCGCCCCGAAGCTGGGTGGCACCAGGCCAGGCGACGACGGCGCCCCCAGGCTCTCCCCGTCCGCCGAGAACGGCTGCACCTCCGCGTTTTCTGTCCGGCTGCCGGCCACGGAGGGTCCCTGCGCCCCGCCCTCGCCGTTGGCCGTCAGCCTCCCGTCCGGGTCGTCGCTCGCGGCGAACAGGCTCGCCTCCTCCTGGTCCTCCGGAGGAGAGGTGCCGAAGGAGGCGGCGCTGGGACGGCCGGCGGCGCGCTGGGAGGAGACGGGTTCGTCGGGTTCGTCGGGCACGTCGTCTGCTTCGTCGTCCTGCGCGACGCTCTCGGTGAAGACGGGGGGAGCCGGGGTGCGGGTGGGAGGGGGAGGAAGGGAAGGGCGCTTTGCCGGCGAGGCGGACGACTTGGCGACTTTCGCAGGCGCCTCTGGCTGTTCGTCATCGTCGTCTTCCTTCTTGCCGCGCCGTGGCGAAGGAGTGGTCGGCGCCTTGGGCTTGGCAGGCGACTTGTCCGCCTTGGCCTTGGGACTTTCGCCCATCTGCTTGGCTCCCGGCGGTGCCGCCATGCCCACGGCAGGCGGCTTGGGCGCGGGGCTGCCGACCCCCGTCAGGGACGTCATTGCGGTGACGGAGGCCTGGCCTTTCCTGGGGGCTGCAGGAGCCCCGTCGTCTTCCTCCTCGTCGCCGGCCTTGGCCACCTGCTTGCCGCGTTTCTTTGACTTCGGCTGCTCGGGCGGGCGCCGGACAGCCCCCCCCTGGGCCTGTTCTTCAATCCCTGTGACCGAATCGCTGGCGGGGGCCCTGGCGTAGAAACCCGTGTTTGCCGTCTGAGACGCCGCGCCCTTTGGAAGGATAGGCACGGCTGGAGGCGTGGGCACGGCCGCGGGTGGCTGAGGGGCCGCCCTCGCGGCCAACGACGACGCGGCTGGCTCGTCGGGCTCGTCGTTGTCCTCGAGTTCTTCCACCTGCGGCCGACCTCCTAGGGCCTCGTCGTCTTCGTCCTCGTCTTCCGCTTGTGCCGCCGTGCGCTGCGGCGGAGGGGTGTAGGGCTGCTGGGTGGTGGGAGCAGGGTTTGAGACAGGAGGTGTGTACTGGGGTGGGTACTGAGGAGGGTACCTCGGCGGTGGCGGTGCCGAGTAGGGCGTTGTCCCAAAGCCGGACGGCTCCTGCTGGGGCTGGACGCCCGTGCTCCCGCCGAAACCGCTACCCTGACTGCTGCCACCAAAACGGAAATTATCTTCGTCATTATCAATGTCGGGCGGATCAAAGCCGGATTCGTCGTCATTGCCATCGTCTCTGTCATTCATCTGCAGCCGTCGGCCCCCCGGGGCCGCGCCCTGCGGGTCTGAGCTCCGCAAGTAGGCCGGCACGTCCATGACATCTAGGAACCTCATAGCCTAAAAGGCAGGATCAGGCGAGCAAGGTCACGATGGGCACAACTGGTTGCAAAGTGTGAAGTCGCGCCAGGTTCTGCCCTGGTTGCAGTTTTCCAATGTTTTGACAAGGGGGTGTCTGCTGATGTTGGGGGAGGCAACTGGGGATATTAATGTCATCACATCATTCCCGTCCAACGCTACCAAGAGTTGGCAAGAATGGCAACTGCAGAGGAGACTTATGTGGCTGAAGGCTGAATGACAATCCTGCGAATGCAGGGGCCAGTCGTTCTTGCAGTGCAACGATTTCAAAGTACCCTGTGATGTGTGCGCTTGATACATCTATGAGACCCCATTATGTGCGACACACAATCGACAATCATTTACCAATATCTAGAACCAACTGCCGTGCTGCACATGTGGTACCCACATTTTTCATGCATCTAGATCAGGCGATCAGCAGGAAAGCATGAAATGTTCTGAGGACGAACAAAAGCACCTTTACGTTACGTTTTCCATTAAATGGGGTCAGAACCTCTCAATTTCCTATTCTTCATCATGTTCCACCGATGATTTTGTAGCCAAGTCGCCACAGACACGTGTCTTGGCTCATTGTGTTGCCCTTGATATTCCACTGTCCGCGTGACTCAACGGGCCTGTGGAATTTCGTTTCAGCAAATTTCGCAGCAGCATGACCATCCGCAGGCGTCCTTGCTCACCTCAAACAGAGCTCCGACAAGTTCCACCTGACTGATTTCTGATCCAGCTAACAGATCCAACGCAGACGAAGTCAATACGCCACACCTTGGTATGTCATTTTCTACTCCCACAACGCTACACTCTGGCTGCAGCGTGCATATATCAAGCCTGCGATCTCGGCACTCCACAAGAGCAGTCGTGAAGGACTCCAATCCTGGAGAACTGCATTCTTCAGAAACCTCCGGCGCTTTCTGCAACGCCATGCAGACCGTGGCTTGGGCAAACAGTAGAGATCAATGTTCAGGCACACAGTTGAACTGCTCTACCCATTACCCTATTAGCGTGTGGAAAACTGGCGCTCTGATAAATGGCGAAATTGTTATCAGGACACAGCCAGCTGAAGCGCTCTCTTGATCAGAGTGTGCATATCCATATCCTGGATATCGACTGTTCATGTCCTGGGTAGGGAATGCTCATACTTAGGGTATGGTCCTGGGCGTGCACATCCAGGATATGGATGTCCATATCATGTTCGGCGTCCAGTATGGGTGAGGATGTGAGACACCTCATATCAGGAAATGGGACTGTGCCCTGACGCACTGGATACAAAGCCTTGTGGCTACTTTCGTCAGAAGGGTGATTTTGGAACAGTCAGTCGCAAATTATCCACGACAATATAGCACTGGCCAGCTCCTTGAGCTTGCCATGCCCAACTGGGAAACAGAAGAGGCTGCCGACTGGGCTTCCCATTGTGCTAATGGTGCAAAGACAGTGTTTCGTCATAAAAGATGCGTGCAACAGTAGATAACCTTGGAGGACAATGCCAACAGGAAGCGGGACGATGTCATCTTTCGATGTTCTCAATCAGAACATACCTTGTATGTGCATCGCCCAGGGTTGTCCGATGATACATGTATCCATGAGCAAAAAGGATGGCTCTCACACACTGGAAATCACAGAATTTATCAGGCTCACCCACCTGCACTTCCATAAGATGATCAGCTGGGCACCAACCTTGTGGTAGAATGGACATCTGCTTGAGTCTCTAAGCCTAAGTGATGCATGATATGACCTCCTTGTTGGTCCACGCTAGGATATGCGCATTTTTTCTTAGCTGTGTTTCCCTTTTTAAGGATGTGTTCAGATTCACATTCGGAAACATGCAAGTGCACAAATATCTGCAGCAGACTCCCTATTGGTGGGTTCTGGGGGCAGCGAGAACTGAGTGCAGTGACTGCATAATTGGCACAACAAGCACCCATACATACCTGTTTCTGCGGGCGGTGTTGGGCAGGGGGTGGGTGGTGGGCAGTTTTTGTCTACATGCTCTTAGCGGAGCGCACATTGTGCACTGGGCTTACGCATGTGGGCGGCTGGCAGAGATATTTGATAATGGCAGACAAAGAAGCAAATGGTACAATGCACAGTGCCGTTGTGCCATGCAGTGTTGACACACCAATCAGAGTACTGGGTTTCTGCAGAAAGCAATCTTCACACCAGCTATCAGGAAAGCAACAAAACGCCTGTGCTTTTCAACGACTGCCACCTGCTGCACCCAGTTCTATTGCAGAACATGATAAACTGCATGTGTACGCAATTTGCACCCTCACCTTCCTTCCCAGATATTACACATTGCCCCTCTTCGAAAAGCTCGTCCTTCAGAGGATGGTCAACGTATTGAAGCAACAACTTTCCATACTGTGGGTTAAGTTCGCAGACACCAGTGTTAGGATTCTTGAACCCCCCTGTGCAGGAAAATGCAAGGCACAAGTCAATGCCACCAGTCAGCACAAGACAATCCCATGAGCATGCAAACACAGCCAATGGAAAATTGAATTGTGGTGCAACGCTAACACACAATCTGTGACTTGCACATCATACAACGAGGGCGACAAACACACAACAGACATTTTGGCACCTTTTTAGCATTCCTGAGTGGACACCCAGTTGTCAGGCTTGCTGTTGTGATTAATGTGCTCTCATTTTGCGCTAGAAGGCTTCTGCATCTTCATTCACGACCAGAAGAAGACTCCAACAAACACCTTTTGGGTGTGTAAACTGCGGCATGCTTCCCTTCTTGCTGCAAAGAATCTTTGGCAATACACGGCAGTGCATCGCCAAGCAGCCCTTTGTGCGCAACGGCTGCGAGGGACGCACCTCGAATCCATGAGCATGCCTCCACCTGGTAAACTCCCTTCAACTCCCTTCCCGATCCTCCATGCCTTGACACCCAAACACAGCAATCCGTTGGTGGTTCCCATTACCGACGCCGGGACCCGGCCTACCGCCTTGCAATCAAAATTCGGGCAATATCGTAGCGCAGGGGAGGGAAACTGCGGGGCGATTCCGCCCCCCAGGGAGAGAATGCCTTCCGTGCGATGGCACAAGCGCAAGAGCCTGGCCGGGCCGGCCGACCAACAACGTTGTCAAGGGGAGGCGCCAGGAAGGGCCGCGGGGGGTTGCGCGCGAGGCCATCGCGGTTCCCCCAGCTGAACCAGCCACGACCAGAAACCCCGCCAGGATCCTTGGAGAGCGCCACTCCCGCATCCTCTCTCCGCTGGCAACATCGTTCGAGGCGCCGGAGGCGCCCCCCGGCTGAGTCCGATGTCCACAGGGCCCATCGGCCATCGGCCACTTCCGAGCACTCGCTCGCCGGCGCCTGGCCTTCGCATCATCCACCCTGTCCCCTCCCCACCCCCCTTGGGTGTCACACATCCCCTTGGCCGTGGTTCTGTGCGCAAGGATAGTCGAGTGCGCCACCCCCGCGCCACTAACGCCGGTTATTACGAATCCATTGCAACGACAAACCGGGGCACAGCAACTGCAGCGCATTGGCCGGCAAGACTGCCCGCTCCCCGCGCTCACCTCGCTTCCCCGCCGATCCATTCCGCCTCCGAGAGTGACCTCGCGGTCGTGAGCTGCGTGACATGCATGGGCGACACGGCCGTGAGCCCATGCATCCATGCATGCCAAAACGGCGGCAGTCTCGAGGATGGGGGTAACGGAAGATCTGCGCCCTCGTCCGAGGCCTGGGACTCACCGAGCATATGCTGACGGTCGCCAGGGCCCAGAGCAGGGAGCCTCCTAGCCGGGCTCCGCCCGGCTTCGCCCCGGTTGCCATCACTGGCCGCCGCACCCTCACCTCGACCGTTGACACCGCATGCCACCTGTTCCGTGTTCAGCCTCGCGGCTGTGTTATTTTTTCCGTTGGCCGCCCTCGGGAGGTGGCGGGGATCGCCGGTGGTGGGGGCGGGGCGCCGTGCTCGGGCCGCCTGCGCCAACCCCCTATTTCGGTGGAAGACCGCTGGCCTGACGGGCTCTGTCTTTGCCAAAGTTCGGCGCCCGGTTTCCGGGTCGTTTCCGCGGAACCGCCAAATGGGGGTCATTGAGGGTAAATTGGGGGGGTGGTCTGCGTAATTTCCGTACTGTGGCCGGCGGGGTGGCTGGTGCGAGGGGATTATCTGATTGATGGGCTGGCCTGGCGCCACTCGCACGGCCAACGTATTGAAGTTTGACAGGATCCACTCACCTTGCATCGTCGCGTTGCGCCGTGTGCGCCGCCCTCTGATGCCCGTCGCTCAGTTCGAGCTTCGACGCAGCGCGGCCACAAGTACTCAGCCCAAAAGCGGTCCACTTGTTGATCTTTATTTTCGGCTCATGTAACGATTGCTTGTTTGACAGGTGCTACAGTCGACGCCGCCTCGCCCTGCCTGCCGTACAGGCCGCCAGTCCACATAGAGATTCCGGTATCCCGCGATGAGTCTCCTGAGGAATGGCCCTCAGGAAAAGCGCGGTGAATGTCTGACTCCAACTTTGGCGGACTGCACGCCCACCACCGAATCCGCGCCGTGCTTTGTGTCGATCTCCAACTGCTTGATTGATGCGAGCGGCTTACCGCAGCCGCGCACATCGGATTGCGGTATGCAAGGCCACGGAGTGCATGTAGGAATGGACACGGCGCGCCTCCAGGATGCATTGTGATCCGCCACAGAGCGTCGCAATGGATTTGCAGTTGTGGAACTTCCAATCGGTTCTTGCATAGGGCTGCCAATATTGGCACCTGCGCTCCGTCATTGCAGCATAAGTTGCGATCAGGCTTGGTGTAAACACCTTTCTATGCACGCTTATTTACTCAGTTGTGAAAAACATTAGTATGGCATTGTTTCTGTGCTCAGGGATCATTTTATCCAACTAGATGCTGCCAATGACATCACTTTACAAAAGAGCTCTCACAAAATCAACGCGCTAGTTGTGCCCTGCATCTGCCAAAGCTTGTGTGTTGCAGTGTTCAGCTCTCACAAAACCCATAAACAGGCAAAATA